GATTCTTTTGTATAGTATTTTGTGTATTCTTGCCACCTCTTCTTAATATCTTCTACTTCAGGTAGGCCCATACAATTTCTGTCCTTTACTGTGCCCATCTCTGCATGAAATGTTCCCTTGGTATTTCTAATTTTCTTGAAGAGATATCTAGCCTTTCTCATTCTATTGCTTTCCTCTATTTCTTTGCATTGATCGCTGAGGATGGCTTTCTTATCTCTCCTTGTTATTCCTTGGAAGTCTGCATTCAGATGGGTATATCTGTCCTTTTCTCCTTTTCCTTTATCATCTCTTTTTTCTGAGCTAATTGTAAGGCCTCCTCAGACAACCATTTTGACTTTTTGCATTTCTTTTTCTTGGGGGTGGTCTTGAACATTGTTCCTTGTACAATATCACCAACCTCCATCCAAAGATCTTCAGGTACTCTGTCTATCAGATCTAATCACTTGAAACTGTTTTGGCTGAATTTGACAATAAGGAGTTCATGATCTGAGCCACAGTCAGCTCCTGGTCTTGTTTTTTGCTGACTGTATAGAGCCTCTCCATCTTTGGCCGCAAAGAATATAATCAATCTGATTTTGGTGTTGACCATCTGGTGATGCCCATCTGGTGTAGGGTTGTCTCTTGTGTTGTTGAAATAGGGTGTTTGCTATGACCTGTGCATTGTCTTGGCAAAACTCTGTTAGCCTTTGCCCTGCTTCATTTTGTACTCCAGTCCAAACTTGCCTGCTACTCCAGGTATCTCCTGATTTCCTACTTTTGTATTCCAGTCCCCTATGATAAAAAGGACATCTCTTTTGGTGTTAGATCTAGAAGGTCTTGTAGGTCTTCATCGAACCATTCAACTTGAGCTTCTTCAGCATTGATGGTTGGGGAATCGACCTGGATTACTGTGATATTGAATGCTTTGCCTTGGAAATGAACAGAGATCATTCTGTCACTTTTGAGATTACACCCAAATATTGCACTTTGGAATCTTTTGTTAACTATGAGGGTTATTCCATTTCTTCTAATGGATTCTTGCACATAGTAGTACATATAATGGTCATCTGAATTAAATTCTCCTGTTCCAACCCATTTCAGTTCACTGGTTCCTAAAATGTCAATATTCACTCCCCCCATCTCCTATTTGACCACTTCCAATGTACCTTGGTTCATGGATCTAACATTCCAAGTTCCTACAGAATATTGTTCTTTGTTTCAGACTTTACTTCCATCACCAGTCACACCCACAACTGGGCATTGTTTACTTTGGCACCTTCTCTTCATTCTTTCTCGAGTTATTTCTCCACTATTCTCTGGTAGCTGGAGAGCCTCATGTAAATCCGTTAAGTCACATCATGCCCTCACACCATACACATAAATAAACTTAACATGGCTCCAAGAGTTAAACAGAAGACATGACACCATAAAACTGCTAGAAGAGACCATAGGCAACACTCTCTCTGACAGAAATTGCAAGATCACCCTTGGAAGTCCAAGGATCTAACAGACAGCCTCTTACAGTTTATATTGCATTTAGGTTTGCCTTCATAAAATACAACAGCCTGGGAGATTTAAACATAGATAGTTTTCCCAGTTTTTCACAGTTCTGGAGGCTAGAAGTACATGATTAAGTTGTCAGTGTGTTTGCTTCTTGTGAAGCCTCCTACTTGCATTTCAGATTTTCTTTTAATTTTGCACTGATGCACTGGGTTTTAGTGGCATATTGTTTCCTCTCCAGGATGCTCCTGAATTAAGCACTTGATAACATAATCGAGCCGTCAGACCTATGTGATTTTATTTTACAGCTATTTTGAAACCCTCACTCTTTTTTCTATATTTGTTCTGGACCCGATTCCTATCACAGGTTTCAATAATAATAAAGTTTATTTCCTACAAAATTTCCATAATAAGTGGCATTGAATTATGAAAATGAGTCTAAATTGATATAAGTTGTGCCGGTGGTTCCTATCATGAGTTCTTGATGATGCTCCTCCTTTTCCTTTTGTCTCTTCGAGTATACTTCCCAGGTATTTTGTCTCATTCCATTTCTTTACCAATACTTTTTTAATGGTTCCATTCAATGGTTGAATGTGAGGAAAGTACTAGTATTAGGGCAGAGACTCATCTCAGGGAAGTGAAGAATCCAGAGGGACACACATGGTTTGTGCCAGCCCCTAATGTGTGTGATTTCAGCATTTCTTCCTCGTGAGACCATCACCTTCAGGGATCATGGAAAAGAAAATGCCTGTCAAATACATCTAGTTTTCTCCTCAGGCTGCTAACTAGAAACTTGTAATTGTTTCCAGTAAATAACAATTGAGAGAAAAGTTTCCAGAAATGTTCTCAGCTCCCAAGCCTGCACTTCCATTGCTGCTGCAGGTGAAATGGTAATTTCAGGGTTTTTTTTTAAATTTTTTAATTTTTTTCATTTATTTTTATTAGTTGGAGGCTAATTACTTTATAATAATGTAGTGGGTTTTGTCATACATTGACAAGAATCATCCATGGGGTTACATGTATTCCCCATCCCGATCCCGCCTCCCACCTCCCTCTCCACCCTATTCCTCTGGGTCTTCCCAGTGCACCAGGCCCGAGCACTCATCTTTTTCTCTAACAACATTTTAATTGATCATTCAGTTTAATGGTCTGAAGATTAGGAGAGCACTAGTTTTAAGGTAGAGAAACATCTCAGGGAAGTAAAGAATGCAGAGGGACACACAGTTTATGCCAGTCCTTTATGTGTGTGACTTCAGAAAGTCCAGCTTTCCCCAATGTGAGACCCTGTCTGCCTTCAGGGATCATGGAAATTAAGAAGGCTCTTGGAAACCCTCTTTTAGTCTCCTAAGGGTGCTAACTAGAAACTTGTAATTGTTTCCAGTAATTAACAACTGAGAGAGAAGTTTCCAGAAGTGTTCTCAGGTCCCAGGCCTGCACTCCCATTACTGCTGCAGGTGAAATGATAATTGCAGCTTTGATGGGAGAAGGGGGGAGGACACAGCATCTCAAATCCATATATCAGGATCTAGTTGCCTCCCTCCCACACAGACACTGGGTATAATGACCACCAGAAAGCCCCCTCTTCTGACAACAGGAAGGTGTCAGGTAAGTGTTTTCCATCTCATTCTAAGCAGCAGAGTCTGTAAGAGAAAGTCAGATCAAGAGTCTGGAGAAGAGATCATATCAGACAAAGGCAATCTTCTGTGTAGTAACTTGTTTCAGTGCCAACAGCAGGCAGAAAGGTGGAGTAAGTCTGAGGTGTGAGCTGAGCTAATATTGAGAGATGGGTTTCTAGAGCCCACAGCAATCTCTAAAGACCCTTCATGCACTCAAATGTAATCCTCTGACAGTTTCTATTGTGACTCAATCCAAGTTACAGCAAAACCTGATTTTTAAAGTGCTTAAAAATATTTGTGATGAGAAGGATGCTAGTCCACATTGGGGAAATGTCATTCATAAATAAGTGTATGGTCTATCATTTGGTAATATTTAAGCTATTTGATAACTATACTGAAAAAAGCTTTGCTTCTCACTGAGTTGGATTTAACTCATTCATGTCCATCAATGCCTTTTCTAGACAAAGAATGAAACTGCACACATGACACAATTGCCATAAAGATATTTTTCCCAACTTAAAAAAAATTGTATTTTAAGTGGTAAAATACATTTGTAAAATCAGTCTGCTGTTGAGTCTACCTTACAGGAATTATAGATTCCACATTCAGGATGACTAGAAGTTCACCACTAATCCATACAGGTTTGCAATAAAATGTATGATGGATCTGAAGAAATCATCTAATCCCATGCAGAAAGTGTATCTAAATGGAAAGAACTTGAATAGAAAGGGTTGCTCCAATCCTGGATGTCTGATGCAATTAGTGTAGACAGTAACTTTGCCTCTACTGAAAACCTCTGTAGTGTGTTAATTCTGGTGAGGTTATTGTTATTCTTAGATTTAAAGAACAGTTGACATGGTAATTGCAAGTTAGAGGCAGCAGCTGGTGGTCTCCTAGCATGTTGATTCTTCTTTTTTTTTTAAAATAGGCTACTATCAATGCAAAAATCCAGTCTCTGAATTTGTAAAATACACAAGAATACATGCCTTGCAGATGCTATTTTACATACATGTCTGGTATGTCAGTGGTATGCACACATCTTATTTCTTTGTTGCTATTTTTGTTTAGCTCTGGAATTAACAAATAGATAAGTATATGAATTGGAAACAATAATAATTCAGTTTTTGCTTACCCTCTTTTATCATGTATTAGTATTTTATGGCTGAAAGTTTACAATGTTACTTGTGCTTATTCAATATTTCCTGTGATGGGTACATTGTACCTGCTTTTCAGACATAAAAGCATCCTAATACCATCCCAGTACTGAGCCATTCTCATCTTCATGACATTATGTAATTTTGGGTAGGTTCCTGCCATATGCCATATTCTACTGCCAGCAGTCCATGTATATGTATTAAGATATCTAAAGCCTAACACATAGTACATAGTGCCCTACAGAATAAAGCTTTACAAAAATGGAATCTTCTTATAATGAAAATATAAAAGACCATCGGTCTAAAATCAAGTTAAGAAGTTGTGAAATCAAAACTAAGCATAGATATGGATTAGTATTTGAATACAACGAACTGGATTTTGGCAGAGCTGGTAGTTCAGTGCACCTCTTGACCAGACTAATGAGTTTCTAAAGTCCTCACTCTGCCCTTTGCAGCAGATCTCAACAAATACGGAACTTCTCTGTGTTACCTTTCCCTGAAAAAATTGAAGTCACAGAAATCCCGGGCTCGTGGATTTGTGAAGAATGAAGTGATAACATGGAGTGCCTTCAGCAAGTAATTCTGCATTCTAAGTGCTCTTTCAGTGTTATACATTGAACACTTTTAAGGCTACTAGTAGCAGAAAAGCATAAAGCAAAATTTTCCAAGTGGGACCTGAGGATAAGTGGAGAATATTGGATTTCAATAGACATGATGCATGCAGTCCACGCCTGATGTTCCCATACAGATACTTAACTCACGAGACAAGTACCAGTGACTGAACTGAGAGGATGGCCAGCAACTTTTTCATAATAGGCATGATCATCTTAACACAGACTGTGGTTGGAATCCTGGGGAATTTCTCACTCCTTTGCAGTTATATTGTCTTTCACTTCATGGGTTATAGGTTAAGGTCCACAGATTTGATCCTTCAGCACCTGATTGTGGCCAACTCCTTGGTCCTCCTCTCTAAAGGGGTCCCACACACAATGGCAGTCTTTGGGTGGAAGCATATCCGCAGTGCTTTTGGCTGCAAACTTCTCTTCTTTCTGCACAGAGTGGGGAGGGGAGTGTCCATCAGTAGCATCTGCCTCTTGAGTGTCTTTCAGGTGATCACAATCAGTCCCTGGAACTCCAGGTGGGCAGTGCTGAAAGTAACAGCTCCCAAGTACACTGTTCCCTCTATTTCCCTGTGTTGGATCCTGCAAATGCTGGTAAATGTCATTTTTCCTATCTATATAAATAGCAAAATGAGTGACAGAAACAACACAAGCAATAAAGATTTTGGATACTGTTCTACTATTCTTACTGACCATAAAAGTAGAAAAACCAGACAGGCCATGTCTGCAGCATTGCTGTTGCTCCCTGATGTTTTATGTTTGGGGCTCACACTCTGGGCCGGCAGCTCCATGGTTCTCATCCTGTACAGACATAAGCAGCAGGTCCAGCACATTCGTAGGACTGACGCCTCCTCCAGGTCCTCCCCTGAGTCCAGAGCTACTAAATCCATCCTTCTCCTCGGGAGCACCTTTGTCTACTCTTATATTCTTTCCTCCATCTGTCAAGTTCTTTTGGCTCTTTTTGATCCACCCAGCCGGTTCCTTGTGGGCATCACTATAATCATTGCAGCGTGCTTCCCAACTGTCAGCCCCTTTCTGCTCATAAGCCATAACTCCAGTGTACAAAGGCTCTACTTTGCCTGGAGAAGAAATGCAAAGTCCTCCACTATTATGAGGAAAATGTGAATTTTATTTATTTCTATAATGAGCCATTGCCAGTTCATTTATTCACCCTCAGAATCCTAATTTAAAATTTTAATCTCAAGATAATATTATTCCGGACATGCCAAGCATCTTCTTCAATATAAAGACCAATTGAAATGTATTGTCATGAAATATGAATATATCGATGAAGTTTTCTTGTAGAAAAGTTCAGATTTATGCAATAAACAACAGGTCTTGAAATGATGTGCATATTATAGAGTGTTCAAATGTGTTACTTTCAGTCTAACAAAACGAATTTCCCAGAAATGAAGTAGGTATGGAATTATAGTTAAAAGTATACAAGAAAATGGATCAGTGTGTACAGTAGTCGGAAATAAAACTGAAGAAATTAATGTCCTCACAGAGTAAAGAATACCCTGGTTAGCACTGAAGGTAAAATCAGGTAAGAGTTTGGGAGCTAGTTACAAGTTTATAGTTAACATTGTTACGAGAGATGTCAGTATTTATTAGAAAGAGTCTTGCAGGGAGATTAGCATATTAAAATATTTTCATGTAGAAATGAGCAGTTTGAAGTGAAGTACAATAAAAAAAAAAACACACTGAAAGAAAGCTATATTTCAGTAGATTTTTAGACTGAAATTTATCTGACATATAACATTGTGTAAATTTAAGATGTAAGATTTGGTAATTCATTACACATAAGTATTGTAATATGACTGCCATTACAGCCACATATCACAATGCAGAACTCTTTTATGTTAAGTTTTTCACTGAATTATAGCTGATTTACAGTATTATGGTAGTGGCAGAGATACAACATTGTTGTTCAATATATAGGTTATTTTTTTTAAAGCTATTTTGAACTATTGGCTATATTCACTGTGCTGTAAAGTATGTCCTTGTAGTTTATTTTACACATAGTAGTGTGTACTTCTGAATCTTTACTCTGTCTTGCCCCTTCCCACTTTCTCTCCCCACTGGTAAACACTAGTTTATTCTCTATGTGCAAGAGTCTTTTTCTACTCCATTATTTTCATCCATTTGTACTAGTTTTAGATTGCATATGTCAGGTGGTAATATACAGTATTTGTCTTTCTCTGTCTGACTTAATTCACTAAACAGAATGATATCCAGGCCCATCTGTGTTAGAAGCAGCAAAATTTTATTCTTATGGGGTGAGGAATATTCCATTGTGTGTGTGTATTGAATTCATTAGTTAGTTTTCTGGTGGAGATATTAGGGTTTTCTATATAAAGTATCATTTCTCTATAGTAGTGACAGTGTTCCTTCTTCTCTTAGGCGTTGGATGTTTCTTATTACATTTTTGTCCATTGCTGTGGCTAGGTTTAAACCAGAGTGGCAAGAGTGAGCATCCTTCCCTTGGTCCTGATTTAAGATGAAAAAGGTTTCAGATATCCACGTCTATGGGTTTGTCATAAATGGCCTTTATTGTGTTGAGATGTACTTTCTCTATGCCCATTTTTCTGAGAGTTTTTACCATGACTGGATGTTAGATTTTGTCAATGCTTTTTCTACATCTGTTATCACAATCTTGTCTTTCTCTTCCTTTTTTGAATGTGGTGTATCACGTGGATTGACTTGTGGGTTTTTAACCATCCTTGCATCTCTGGAAGAATGATACGTGATAATCATTTATGATACGCTTTATATATTGTTGAATTCAGTCTGCTAATAGTTTCTTGAAAATTTTTTTCAACCATATTCATCAAGAAAATAATGTATAATTTTCTGTAGGGTCTCTTTATAGTACTGATATCAGTGTAGAGAAAGCCTGATAGAATAAATTGAAGAGTGTTCCTCTCCTCTTCAACTTTTTGGAACAGTTTAAGAAGGACAGATGTTATTTAAAAAAATATTTCATAGGATCACACGTGACACCCTCAAGTCCTGGACATTGTTTTCTGGGAGGTTTTTGATTCAGTTCAGTTCAGTTCAGTTGCTCAGTCATGTCCGACTCTTTGTGACCCATGAACTGCAGTATACCAAGCCTCCCTGTCCATCACCAATTCCCGGAGTTTACCCAAACTCATGTCCATCGAGTCGGTGATGCCATCCAACCATCTCACCCTCTGTCATCCCCTTCTCCTTCCGCCTTCAATCTTTCCCAGCATCAGGGTCTTTTCCAATGAGTCAGCTCTTCACATCAGGTGGCCAAAGTAATGGAGTTTCAGGTTGAACATCAGTCCTTCCAATGAATATTCAGGNGGTTCAAGACATTACTTGCTAACAAATGTCTGTCTTGTCAAAGCTATAGTTTTCTGGTTGTCATGTATGGATGTGACAGTTGAACCATTAAGAAAGCTGAGTGCCAAAAACTGATACTTTTGAACTATGGTATTGGAGAAGACTTTTGAGAGTCCTTTGAACTGCAAGGAGATCCAACCAGTCCATCCTAAAGGAAATCAGTCTTGAATATTTATTGGAAGGACTGATGCTGAAGCTGAAACTCCAATAGTTTGGCTACCTGATGTGAAGAATTGACTCATTTGAAAGGACCTTAATGCTGGGAAAGATTGAAGACAGGAGGACGAGAGGATGACAGAGAATGAGATGTTTGGACGGCATCACTGACTCGATGGACATGAGTTTGAGCAAGCTACAGGATTTGGTGATGAGCAGGGAAGCCTGGCATGCTGCTGTCCATGTAGTCAGAACGAGTTGGACTCTACTGAGCCGCTGAACTGAACTGAAGACATAATATTACACAAACAACATTAACAACAGTGTCTGGTATCTAGTAAACCCTAAATAAGCTTTCCTTCTCATGAGTACCAAAACCAATAGATTAGTTGTGCTTTCCCATGTAGTTAAATTCTGAAATTCATTTCCAGTTTATTATATATTTTTATTTCACTTCCAGTTTAATATACATTATTTTATAGTCTATATAGTTTAATGTAAACATGAAATTATACTATTGTTAGTCTCTACAAAATAAAACAGTTATGTCCAACACACACACCTTTTGACTTGAACAGGCACTCTGTGGATTACACTGCTTCTATTAATAAACACATCCAAAGGTAATTTTAAAGTGAATCATGTTATTACCTTATTTTAATAAGTATGAAGATGCATAAAATTGTAGGGCAGTTCTTTGGAGATTAAGGACATTCTACTCTTCATTCAAAAAAAAAAAAAAACAGCAAAGCACAATTCATTATTATAGTTATTATTATTTCTAGTCTATTTTCCAGACTTTTATTTTTCCTTAAGGTTCATATGTTAATTACCTATTTTTTTCTGTATCTTCCTCAAAATGCCTCAAGCATGTTAGAAGACTTGTCTAATATATTTTGAAGTACTTGAAATGTTTCCTTGTGATTATGTAGCATGAGAGGGGCAAAACTTGTTTTATAGAAGGGAAATTTCATTCCCTATGAAATGGTTCAATAATTAAGAATATCATGAGCTTCCTCCAATATATCAGATGTTAAAGAATCTGCCTGCAATGTGGGAGACCAGGGTTCAGTCCCTGGGGTGGGAAGATCCCCTGAGAAGAGAATGGAAACCCACTCTAGTATTCTTGCCTGGAGAATCCCATGGGCAGAAAAGATTGGTGGGCAAAATCCATTCGGTCACAAAGTGTTGGACACGACTGAGTGACTGACAGTAGGGATATCATAGAAACCATATTATCATGTGCTGTTACGATGGTATTATTACTGTTTTTATCACCTCTCAAATAATTTTAATTTTTCACTAGATTGAGAATTATAAAAATCCATAAGTATACCAGATATGCCATTATATGCACAACATTTTGTTAAATTTTAATATTTGTGACAGGGCATTAAGACATCATTCAAATTAGTGTTCATTATTTGAATGTTCTATATGCTAACTTGAATTCCAGTTAGCTCATTGTACTGTTTTTGTTTTTTTACATAAATGTTTTATTTGTTAGGTTTCTACTGCATCACACAGAGAAGAGAATTGATAACTCCTGGAGTTACGGACCGTACTACTTTTGCATTTCCTTTTCTGAATTACTATGGCCACTTTTTTTCCTTTAGTTTTAAAATAAAAAAAAGAATATCCACTTTAAAATTACCTACAATTTTCACTTGACAAATTTGTCAAAGCTTCTTTCTTTTCTTACAGTTCTTCTTGTGGTGTTCTGGATTAAGAGTAAAATGTTTTGATGTGATATCTACTGTCACTGCATTTCATGTCTAGGATGATATAATTATGAAAAATAAAGCTTAACTTAGGGAAGCAGGAACAAAAAAACTGAATTCATTTTTTTAAGAATGCTCAAACTACCACACAAATGCACTGATATCACATGCTAGCAAAGTAATGCTCAAAATTCTCCAAGCCAGGATTCAACAGTATGTGAACCGTGAACTTCCAGACGTCGAAGCTGGAATTAGAAAAGGCAGAGGAACCAGAGATCAAATTGCCAACATCCACTGGATCATCAAGAAAGCAAGAGTTCTATGAAAACATCTACATCTGTTTTATTGACTACGCCCAATCCTTTGACTGTGAGGATCACAACAAACTGTGGAAAATTCTTAAAGAATGGGCATACCAGACCACTTGACCTGCCTCTTGAGAAACCTGTATGCTGGTCAAGAAGAAACAGTGAGAATTGGACATGGAACAACAGACTGGATATAAATCGAGAAAGGAGTATGTCAAGGTTGTTTATTGTCACCCTGCTTATTTAACTTAAATGCAGAGTACATCATGTGAAATGCTGGGCTGGATGAAGCACAAGCTGGAATCAAGGTTGCAGGGAGAAATATCAATAACCTCAGATATGCAAATGGCACAACCCTTATGGCAGAAAGCGGGGAAGATCTAAAGAGCCTCTTGATGAAAGTGAAAGAGGAGAGTGAAAAAGTTGACTTAAAACTCAACATTTAGAAAATGAAGATCATGGCATCCAGTCCCATCACTTCACGGCAAAGAGATGGGGAAACAATGGAAACAGTGAGAGACTTTATATTGGTGGACTCCAAAATCACTGCAGATGGTGATTGCAGCCATGA